TACCAGGTCTTTACAAACCGGGAAATCAATGGACCGTCATGATAACGGTACCATACAAAAATACATACATTGCTTAATCAGCTATGTCCGCCGAGATTGGAAAAGAGCGGATCTTGTCATTTTAGTTAGTTAGAGAATTTACATATGTCAGATTTACCATACATTGTCGTATCCGTCTATTTCTGTCATATATCTTCAATTGAAACCCGAAACCCCGAAAACCCGGCCTTGTATCGTAAGGCACAGAGTATCAAAATATAACGACTAAGCCCAAAAAAATACCTACCAGGTCGTTTGGATTAGACTTTGGCTGACGTGGAGGCTGTACTAGGAGCTGAAGCCCACTGGAAGAGGGGATCACTCGATAGACACTCCATCGCCGCCCGTTCCAAGATCCATCGCAATCTCCAGCATGAATAAGACGATGCAGCATCAGACGGAAAGTTAGGCATTATCCAGCAAAAGCCAGGAACTGTATCGAAAACCAAGTCGAATAATTGAAGGTCTCCGAGTGGGCCATACCTCACATAAGGCGATGCTGACTTGATATCAGATAAAAGGAAATTGACCCCCCACCCGGGTCTAAACGAACTCCAATCACGCTCGTTGGAAATTTTGGCGACCATGCCCTGCGCATGCTGCTTGTTCAAGTGTCCGGATGCTTCCTGAAGAGTCTGGGCAACGTTGCAGATCCGCCAGATATCTTCCGGCCCCACCGGACTGAGAAGCTCTGGCACATGAATATTTCGCAAGGCCTCAGGCGGAGGAGGTGCAGAGCCATCACACTTGCTTGTGGTGCCCACGATAGTGTTTCCCATATATCCCCGGCGTAAATTGAGCGCCTTTCGAATATTTTCGACGATGAACATCTCAGACGAGAGTTCCGGCTCATTGGGGAAAGCCCTCAAGCGGGCGCGGCTACTACATATTCCAACTAGCGCGCTGATGACTAGGTTCGGTGAAAGGGACATCTCGGAAAGATCCTTCCTATATTTCAAAGGAAGAGTCTGTAAGGCCGAATTGCAGGCCTCGTGCAGCATTTTTATCTTTCGGCCATCGAGTACATGAGGAGAACTGACAGGCATTCGATTATAATCTGTGGATATCTCCTTTTCGATTGCTGAGGAAGGAAAGGTCGTCCATTGAAGTTCGTGTGGTGTAGCTGTAGAGGCAATCTCCTTGATATGCTGCCTTGTTTCTTCTTGCGCATGTGGAGTTGTGAATGGTCCTGGGGTATTCAAGTCTCTACAGAAGGCGGCGAAAGTAGCAGCAAACTTAAAAAAGCCTGACCCATCCATTACTCGGTGATCAAAGCAACAGACAAGGTACAACTTGTTTTCCAACACATTCGCCTTCAACCGTAGCACAGGAGAAGGGTTACGTGGTGGGTAGACGATTGGGAACGGCATCAAGGCAGTGTTGAGTTTCCCATCCACAGAAGCAGCAGTAGACTCTGTATGATGCTGGGTAACCATAACAGGGCACTCCTCAAGCTCAGCAGCAGTGGCAGGCCGCACCTGAAATACGTTACGTCTACCATCTGGCTCGGTAGACGGTACCACCATCCCAGTCAGGAAGGGGAATTTGGAGACCACACGAGCCACCGCATCCTCCATTCGCTGAAGGGCACGCACACGATCCTTGTCAATTAAACTAAACGTGAGAGAAGTACTGAAGTGTCCTGGAGGCGAAAAATGGTCTAACGGAGTAAGGTTGTAGGGTTGGAACATGTTTGCGAGATTCGAATTCCTCCTTATACCCCCGCGCCTGAATAAAATGGCGCCGTGGGAAAAGAAGGAAGGAAAGGAGGATTTAAAAGACAACGTTGAAGCCAAAAACTCGAAGGCTGGGTTCGTTGAACAAGTTGACTACCTTGTTGAATGACGAAATTCTGCACCGCGGAGCGACGGAGATAGAACAGGTAGAGCGATAGGTCATAGGAATGAGAAATGACCAATGCCTGTATAATGAGGGTGATCGTGGACTGACCTCTCCTCATGCTGAATGGGCCCTTAAATAGATTTCAAGGCCTCGAAATTTGGACTACTCGGTTCAAATAACTGGCAACATACATGCCTACTTGGGCGATATGCTCTGCAGTGTACTACACTTCTAATGCAGGGTTTCTACAAGTGAATGATATCCACGTTTGTGTAACCCTAAAGCTGGTAATTATGATGCTATCTATTGAGGAATCAATATCTTAGTTCTTTGATATTGTAGCATTCATATCACATAACTTTTTGAAGATATGTTGGTTTCTAATGTTCTTGGTGGTCGGAGATATTGTGCTGGTGCATTTCCGCTTTCCTGCACAGACAAGAGAAAGTCCTGCATGATAAGATTGATATTACAATTGACGTCGATCGGTGCTAGTATTTAATGTAGACAATCGCTGATTTTTTATGGCATTGCTTCGATTACCAACAAGCAATGTTGGTGCAGTGTAACACAACATCAGCCTTCCAAAAAGACGCACAGCATAAGGCTATGTAACTTTGAAAGAGAGAGGGCTTGGTCCGATCTGCCAATGAAAAATGTGAAGCTTCAAAAAGCGATATGCCTATTGAGGCCCTGTCATACCCCGATAAACTTAAATCCGACCTCGCGAGGCAACTAGTGTATGCCTTTATAGAAAATGCAAAAGGCGTAGTAAATACAAAGTCGAGAAAAGGGAGAAATTCAAGAACTATACCGACGTTAACGGGCCCATGAATGACTCAGGTAATTTTGTATGTGACGAGGCAGGTGTAGATATAATGTGGGATATTCGCTCATCCCAGCACTAAATAACCCATCGATCACTGGTCTATATTAATGATTATCAATCTTTGTACGGTATCCATACATCTAGGTTTCATCGACTATGCAACGAGTCTAATCTGGCTCAAGTAGCGATCATCCATGTCTATGACTGCAACTGACTGTGTGTAGTCCATCGAAACCTGAATGGCTTGGAACTGAACAACATGAAAATTTTCATGATGTCGCGTGGCAAAGTAAAGCCTATCGCGCTAGAAAATAACAGATCATTCATGTTTACTCTTGGCAAAAGTTTTTCTTGCTCTGCCGACTGAACCCGACCCTTACCCGCACAGAAGGCCCATACTAGCGAGATCTAATGCAACATTGAAGCTTCCCTATCTCAAATCACTTGCATTTAAAGAAAAGTCTCTCGAAAGCCAGCCTATTTGGGGTCAACCAAGAATAATCGGGGGTAATCATCGACGAGACCTCCTATTGGTGCCTGGCTGTGGTCACGAGGAAACTAAGAATCTAGGATATTCATGGTCATGTTTTGTCACTGGGGGTATATCTCACAGTTTATGTGATTATGGTCAGTTTCAGCTTCTTCCACCCTTTACTTTGGGGTTCTCATTTGGTCATTGATCGACATGTGGAATGTACGCGGGAATCAGCATGAGCATATCACCCCTAGCGGGGCAGCTGATATCACTCTTGTGGGGGCAGCTGTCACTCCTGCGTGACCAAGGACAGCAAATATTTACCACGATATCCGCAAGGACAAGAAGGAAGTCGTGGAGCATAAAAAGGGAAACAGCGCCCCTTTGCGCCTTCCCGCCCAAAACCAAGCATAACCTAAAATGGCCCCGAAAACCATGGCCCGAATTTACCAGGGACTGACACGTGCAACGCTGAGTGCTCTCCTACTTCTACAGCCTGTAACCGCAGTTCCAGGGACAGGAACACTAGTACCACGAGCATCTCAGTCCTCGGTACCTATATCCTCGACCACCCCGTCGATGTCAACCCTAGCCCCGACAACTTGCAATGGTCGCTCAGAGTACTGCACCCGGTCCTACTCAAATATCACATTTGTGGGTTCCCACGATTCTGCATTTGTCGGGCCCTTACCTCAGCAGAACCAAAATATCGATATAAAAGCCCAACTCGACATGGGAATCCGGTATCTGCAAGTACAAACACACCATTCCATCCTTGATAGGGATGTGTTAGAATTGTGCCATACATCATGCTTGCTCGAAGATGCAGGACCGCTCAAATCATACTTGGAGACAATCAAGAGCTGGCTGGATGCAAACCCGAACGAAGTCGTCAGTCTCCTCTTGACAAACGGAGACTCGGTAGCCATCACCGAGTTTGGAGACACTTTCTCCAGCAGCGGAATCACCAACTATGCATATGTTCCCTCTGCCAATCCGCTAGCAATTACCGATTGGCCCACACTAGGTGATATGATATCTAGCGGAAAGAGATTGGTCGTATTCCTGGGTAAAAAGCACCAACCACAAAGACTTATGTATATATTGAAACTGACAATCTCCAGACTACGGTGCCGATACTACAAAAGTGAACTACATCCAAGATGAGTTCGCCTACTACTTTGAGACAGCCTACGACGTCACAGACTCCTCTTTCTCAAACTGCAGCATTGACCGGCCCTCTGGTGCCGCTGCTACAGGCCGTATGGGCATTATCAACCACTTCCTTGATATAGATCTTTTCGGCGTAAAAGTTCCAGCTCGCCAGAGGGCAGGTACTACTAATGCTGCGACGGGGCAGGGTAGTATTGGCGCCCAGGCAGCGCTATGCGCTGGGCTGTATGGGCGTGCGCCGAATGTGGTCCTCGCGGACTTTGTGGATAAGGGGGATGTTATTACGGCACAGAAGAATCTGAATGGGTTCTAGATCGGGGTTTGGAGTCATGTCGTGCTATATCTCATAAATATACATATATAGTGGTCAATTTCTATAGCTTGAAGCATTTCCTCTTCCCATTCAGTGAAAACACACCGAAGATGGGGAATCGGCGAACTGGAAGATCAGCAATCGTGGTATAGTACGACGTAATACCGACATGTCCCTACTGGAGAGTCGTAGTTTGTTGAAATATTTCATGCATCATACAATAATACACAGGTTACACTACTTTTACCAAATGGGAAGGAGCGCACACCGCAGATTCAAAGAGCTTATGGCAAAACAAAAGGTTACCAAAAAATCTATATTGCACATCGTTACAGATCCTCAAATCCCAGAATAGATCTCACAACCGCGAGAAGCTTCTCTTTACAAGCCTCACTGTCCTCCAAAGCTTCAGATGCTCTCCATGCAACGACTCGATCCGGTCGCACCAACACTGCCCCCGATTCTTCCACACCTCGGACACTTTCCCACTCGAAGTACACATCCTCCCAGTCTTGCCTGAATCCAATCGAACATGCTTGAATTGGAATCTTGAGCTTTTTGGCAACAGTTCCAGCCGCTTCCTTCCAAACTCCACCTCCAATTCCAGTCAAGAGTGTAAATGATCCATGACCAGCAAGGTCAATTGTCGAGATGGGCTTCTCCGGGGTTGCTTTATTGAGCCAAACATGCGGCAAACGAGAGCCAGGATATGTATTTGGTTCATGGTATAGTATCTTATCCTCGGCCGCCTGCCCAAATTGCCTATAGGGATCCGCTTCGTCGGCCGTATAGACCCCCTGACCCTCGTAATGTTGGTTCATTTCGACACCCAGCCCGTGGAATTCATGGGAGGTATATTTGATTGCTTCACGCAAGGCACGGCGACGATTCGACCCTTGTGGGGTTGCACTCTTCAACTCCTCCAATATCTGCTTCCGTTCAGAAACATCTGCCGGCAGCATGCCGGAGTGCATCCCACACATGCAAGTGGTCGCGGAATGCTTGGTTTGCTCGGGTGATGACTGAATGGCCAACAGGCTGTCTCTCGTTGGAATAAGTGGATAGAAGAGACGGGGACGCGAGGCCCTTGCTGACATACGCAAGCTTCCAGGCCAAGTTGAAGGCGTCTTGGATGCATGTGTTTGATCCCAGGCCATTAAATGGAGGGTGGCGGTGCACGGCGTCGCCAAGACAGAATCTATGAGCGGGATGTATCGTCAGAGGGGAATTCACTCATCAAATTAACCAGGTAGATAACTTACATGTTACCTTCCGAGTACTTCTCCGCCACAGTTTCATTGACATACCAAGATGAGACATCCAGAATTTCGGCTGGTGTGTCATCGCCAATAAACTCTTGCACCCTCTTTTGATACTCCTCCATAGAGGGTTTGCCTTGAGAGCGGTCATAGCTGCGGTCTGGGAATAAGATGAACATCCATTCATTCCAAGGTTTTACCATGCGAACAACCCCCATCCATCCAAATTTAGGGTGCTCGCGATCTGGCTGCATCACCCAATGAAGGTTTCCCGTTCGATTCTTGACGAGATGGGAGAGGTCTGCCTTGACAAGCACATTGATTGCGATACCTTGTCCTGGCAGAACTGCGAGAGGCAAATCCAGTTGCTTCACCACCTGGCTGCGGGCACCATCGGCGCCTAATAGATACTTAGTGCGGATACGGTATTCGTGGTTGGAAATCTCATCACGAATAGTTGCTATGGTCGACCCGGTCTTCTCTTCATTGACGAACGAAACAAGTGTCGTATGAAAGCGGCACTTGAACCCTTTCAAAGCCGCATGGCGAACTAGAACCGGTTCCATAACTGTCTGCGGTAGGTCAAATGGTTCACATGGACTAGCCAGTTCATAGTCACCCTTTAGACTTTGTTAGTTGATTCATCCACGAACTACTCAGACCCAGCTCCTGATGAACTAATGCAACAACTGGGAAGAGCAATTGAATCCTACCTTTCGTCTGGGATCATTACCCCACGAATGAATTCTAGCGTACTCTTCACCAGCCATACTATGGCACCATCTGGTGTGTTGCATATGATCTTCGCTCGTGGATCCCAGCTTTTGAAGCTCGTCATACAGACCAATATCTCGGAGACATTCTAAATAGGTCTGTTAGTATTCCAGCCGCAACTGAAGATACACTCGTGACTAACCAAGTGCTGCCATATTGGTAATATGTGCGCGAGGGGTATTTGCTGTCCCTGGCGCACTGCTAATCATGATTCCCTTGAGCCCTTAACATTTTAGTCACTCAATTCAAAGTCGCTTCGACCCAGATACTTACCATGAGAGCCAAGAAAGCAAGCTAAGGATGCACCCGCAGGCCCTGCCCCGACGATAAGGAATTCTGTATCGATAACATGATCCTTAACTGCATCGGAATGAGTGGCTTGGGCAGTACTCGAAATTTCCTCGGCTTGATTTACTGAGACTTCGTTCGGTCTTGTCTCGCCGACCGTATTTTGGCCGTTTGTAAGAATAGAAGGCATTGGCTCTGAGGAGTGTATGTGATCGAGATGCGTTATCACAGAGGTCTTTCGGCAACTTTACTATTCAACTGAAGTGCAGAAGATATAGATACTTGTTATGAGTATAAAGATGGCGGTGTAGTTGTCCGTTTGGTCTGCCAAGGATATTTGCGTCTCAGCATCGGAGCCCAGTTGTTGACACGAAATTATGCCGAAGATCATCCGAGACTATGTGCTTTCGGGCAATATTCGTGTAGGTCTTAGGGTACTAAACAATTTACAGTCAATGTAATCACGGCCTATCCCCGCTGTCATAAATCAGATCTCCCGCTAGCTTCCTACGCTCGTACACTTGGATATTTTCTTTTATCTTAGTTCTGTATTGTTCGTCTTCTAGCTTGAGATTCTACTGCAGCATTTCGCTAGCATCTCGTTAACAATATCTGAAAACATATCAGATTGGCAAAACAATCTTAGCCCCACTAACACCAGCCCTAAGCTTATCCAGTGCTGCATTCAACCCGTCTAGACCGCCACTCTCAATCTGAAGAGCCGGGCTGGGAACAACTGAACCGGACTCCAGACCATCTTTTAGCCATCCATGGAAGCACTGGTAAATGTGCTTGCTCCTTTCGGTCGGATCCATCGACGGGAGATTGAACTTAATCTCCGTGTTCTCGAGCGTTGGATGGTCTGGGGGAAGTACAGGTGAATGGGCAACTTTAGCGGCTATATCACCCTTCGTTTCTTTAAGGACGTCGAGTGTCGGTTGCAGACCCCCATTAACAACGCAGTGTGCAGTATGCAGATTGACACCATCGTTCTTCACAGCTTCAACGATCTGTGAGACGACATCACTCGCTTTGTAGTCGAAAACTGCGTGCGCTCCGAGCTTCTTAAGGTAATCATGGTGTTTAGGACTAGCGGTAGCATAGACAGTAAAGCCAAGTGATTTAGCCGATTGGATGGATAAAGTGCCAACGCTACTAGCTCCGCCCCAAATAAGCACCGCCTGCTTATCTTGCGGGGTATACTTGGTGTCGAGCGAGATGCCGATTGTAGTCCAGGCAGTTAAGCCGGTCGAGACAGCCAAGGGTAATATAGCACCTTCCTCAAACGAGAGGTGGTCTGGAAGTGCAATAACTCCTTCGGATTGTGCTAGGGCGTATTTTTGGAAGGCGCCGTAGTCTGGCAAGCCACCTTGATAGAATGACGAGGCGAATGCAATAACTCGGCTTCCTGGTGTGGGCACGGTAGTCACATTCGAGCCCACCTTCACGACGAGACCTGAAGTATCGGACCCGATCACAGCCGGATAGATAGGCACTGGAGGTAGGCCAAAGTCACGCTGGTAATAGTCGACTGGGTTCAAGGCGACAGCCTTGACTTCTATGAGAACTTCATTTGGACCGGGCTCGGGGGTGGGGCGCTCCTCAACAGATAAAGGACCGCCTTTCTGGGGGAGGATGGCGGCGTGATGGGTTCCAGTCATGGTTTATATCTAGCAGATCGCTGTGAATGTTCCTTTGTTGAAGAGGTGGGTCAACTTGAGCTGTCTGAGTATGTAGAATGTGGTGCAATTGGAAGGTGTATAAATTCTATGCTTACATCCAAGTACCTATGTACATATGTGGTTGCTTGCTGTGCACATGCATATCCGGACTTTACCTTAACTCCGACACCCCAAGCAATTGTTTCCTACGTCTGTTCCTGCTAGGGATATTCAATTTCTGTGGTACTATAACGATGGCTCGAGTCAGGCCGAAAATTCACCCAATCGACATTGCTTCGGGCTTAAGAATCGGTACTTTGGCGTTAAACCCGATGCATGTTGTCATTAGCGCTAGTACTCAGTACGGGTCGTTGTTAGCGCTGGATATACCAACGGACATAAGTTGTATTGTTGGGAAGAGAACATTGAAACATTAAGACATGGAAAACCATTCAAGACGTGGGAGCAAAAGGCCGCGCCATCAAGCCTTGTTACTACCAGAACCCGATTAATTGAAGAATAATGCCTACGTAATTGTCTATAGTTACCATTACTGAGGGAATGTGTGGATTTGTTTCGAATCCCGTTTTAATTCCCGACTTACGCGTGTAGAAGAACGTCAAACTACTAAATTAAGAATACGTAAGAAAACGGCTAAGTATCAACTTGTTAAGATTCAAAAGCTAGGCTCATGTCTGCACATTACATGCAAATAAAAAAGCATCAAAGATCAGATATCGAAAGATACGGGCGAGACGGGCTAAACATCAGAGAACCCTGGGACAATGTACATATTGCAATATGCACTCCCCATGACACGTAAATCCTTGTCAAATCACAAGCACAGCCCGCCTAATCAAGCTCGGATTCCTCATGAGAGTGAGAAGAATCAGGCTCGGAGTAGTGAGCGTACAGGTGGGACATCAGAATATCAGCATCATCTTCGCTCGCGGTGCTCATGAAACAAGGAGTTCTGCGGACCTCCTCGGAGACGTTGGCGTAGATAAGGGCGATTGCGCAATCGCACATACGCTGGTACCACAGGTACAGGTTATGGCCAGGAGACAGTGGCTGAAGCTCCGCAGTCACAACAGGCCACACACAGTGTTGGCGGAAGAGCAGTCGCATGGCGGTCAACCAGGGATCCCAGTTGTCATGTCCAGTGAGAGGGGGCACTTCGATGGGGACGAAGTGCTTGTCGTGGGTGGTGTTCATGAAGAACCTCACATGCTTCGCGGTCCTGGCTTGCTCGGCTATGTTTTCGACCAGCGAGGGTACAGAGGAGATATCATCGTCACTGTCGGGGACGACGCCGAGTGGGAACACGAAGCGGTCCAGGTCGGTGGTGGAGAATGTGGTCGAGACGGGGTTGCTCGGTCGCTGAACCCTTGGATTGGCCTCGGGGATGTCCTCCATCTTGACCTTGGGAGGGGAAGACTCTGTATCTGTGTTAGAGGGGAGAAAAATCCATTCCCAACGTCCGTTTTGAGAAAAGAAGGTGGGACTGTGGGTGTAATTGGGACTATGATTGGGAGAAGGAAACAAGGTCATGTCGTCCTCAGTACAGGGAAATTGGTTTGTGGAAAGACAGAGGCCATTCGCAAACTCACTCTTTGTGTTCTTGGCATTTCCGTTGGTCGTCTCATTGGTAGGGGTAGTGGAAGACTCTATGTTGTTGTTAGAGGCAAGATAATACCAGTCCCAGAGTCTATTTTGGGAAACAAAGATAGGGTAGCCGGTGGGATCGGCAGTGGAGACGTGACATAGGGTAAGATCATCCTCGGTACATGGGAATGGGGTTGAGATTAGACCTGGGACAGGAGTCAAGTCAAAATTGTACTCACTCTCATTCGAATCCTTGGCGACAGAAGCAGGAGTGGGGGATGGCATCTCAGTTTTGATCTCTGCACCAAAGACATATAGGTTAGAACCTGTATGTTGTGTAGCGCTATCAAGGAAAGCCCGTTGATGATCTGTTAGCTGATTCCAGTACTCACTTGGGGGTTGTGTTCCAGCAGAGGAATTCGTCTTGGGGACTCCTGACAGGGAGCTGCTGTTAGCTCTCTCTGAGATGACTGATTTTGTACCTTTCTGCTTCTTTCTAATGGGTGATGATGAGGGATGGGGGGACAAAGTATTGGACATACCCTTCTTGACGCCCTTACGGGAGGAAGGTTTGGGAGGCATGATGGTGTTGATGAGTGGGGAAGAAGATTGATGAAGAGAGATGGTAGGGAGATGGCAGAGAAGGGAGAAGGAGAAGGGAATAGTGGTGATGCGTTTGATAGGTAATGGGTAATGCGTTTGATGGAAAACGTTTGTAGGCAACTGGGGAGTTTTGCTGTTGGTAACCCACCAGATTCCATGAAACATTCATACTACACAAAAGCACATTAAAAAAGGTATTTAAATTGTGATGATTCCATTGTTCATGTATAGAAGTTTGACACAGCATAGAAACTGTGAAGAAAGAAATATTCATGGAATACAAACATCTTGAAAACAAACTATCTGAGACATTACAGGCAGAAGACCCTCACTTACAACAAACGCGACCTAAAATTTAAGGATTGTAATCTACAACAGGAATTGTAGTGTCATTCAAATTGACAGAGCCTGGGGTGTCAATGCCAGCGTACTGGTTGAGCCATCCCAGGACCTGTTGATGCCAGACAAGACTGTTTTCCTTGTTGATGACCCTATTAAATGCCATTAAGTTAGCTGGAGGACTCTTCCGATGATGCGTCTCCAATCAAAGGCATCCGTTGTACTTACCAATGGTTTTCATCAGGGAAGCTGAGCAGTCTGCTTGGTACACCTCGCTCTTGCAAGACGTTGAAAAGCGCCAGACCCTCAGAGATGGGAAGCCGATAATCCAAATCACTATGGATAATGAGCTGTGGGGTAGTGAACTGTTTAATGTGCTCTGGAGCGGATGGATCCCAGCGACGATAGTTGTCTCGGTTGTCCCAGAACGTGCCATTGAACTTCGAAAGAGTTAGTATGCGAACCGAGAAAATATCACCAATATGATACATACCTCACGCTCCATGAACCACAGTTCCTCGGTTGAGACCTTTGCGTCGGCCACAAATGTGCCATCGTGGCTGGCCAGCGCCTTGAACTCGCGACCTAGAGGATTACCCTGGATCCAGTTGATCATGAAGCCACCGTAGCTAGCGCCAGCTGCCACGCCGCGATCGGTATCAATGAAGTCGAAGTTATCTCGGACATACTCCCAACATTTGACCAAATCGTCGTAAGGGTAGCTTCCTATTGATCATTAGAAGGTGATAATGAGACGGAACGATGGAAATCACATACCCCAATTGTTCGCGATCTCATCGGTGAGTTTTTCACCAAACCCAGTGCTACCAGTTGGGTTGGGTGCGACAACGACATATCCTTGGTCAGCGAAGACCTTGTAGTTCCACCGAGTGCTCCAGGAATCAGCCCAGGAGCCTTGAGGACCACCATGAATATAGAACAGGAGCGGGTATGACTTTGACTTGTCAAAGTCGGAAGGGTAGATGATCCAGGAATGAATCTATAACATTAATATCTTTTCAGTTCCAGGAGAAAAGGTAGACTTACATCTGTCCAGTTGCCCTTAAAGTAGAATTCATCAACGTCTGATGGGCCAAGACTCTTCAGAGCGGAGTCAACTTCGTTGGCAGAGAAGATGACACCTGTGACGCCCTTGCCAGGCTTAGCGGTGTAAACTGTGCGACTAGTATAGATAGCGGAACTAGAAATCAAGTAGTCGCCATTAGGCAGGCCGTAGTATGCAGCCACCGCACCACCGTCCGTGAAGTTCTTAGGCTTGAAATCATTACCAGCATCGGCGGGCAACAGGAAAAGTCGAGAGCGTGCAGAATCCTCGGTGTTCAGAACCAGGTTTTTCCCGTCAGCAGTCCACTTGATTGCCTCAGGTGACCTGTCCCAGTTCTTGGCCAATGTGCGAATAGTATCTTTGGAGTCAACGGTGTAAACATAAACCGTGCGACGGTCCGACTCGTAAGAGATATCTTCCATTTGGAGATATGCAAGGTGACGGCCATCTGGGGAAAAGACAGGACTGCTCGAATCACCCTTGATATCTTTCGGTGTGCCAGGACTGTCTGGGCCATTGATAGCCACAGCCTTCTTTGATCCGTCATGGGGCACAAGATAAATATACGAAGCAGTGTTGTTTGCACGTGGCAACTCAGGCGCCTTGCTCTTAAATGCAACCAACTTTCCGTTCGGGGAGATGGCATAGTCAGACGAATCGCCGAACGGCGGGTAAGGTGACTCGAGGTTCTTGACTCCTGCGACGAGGTTCTTGAGAGATCCGTTGGAGGTGTAGCTGGGTGTCGCTCCATGTCCAGCTCTCTTCTTCTTCAGGGTCCCCGAAAAGACAGCATTGAATCTCGTCGTGAGCCAGGTATCCCAGTGGCGGACATAAATACTGTCGTAGATACGTGCTGAGCTTAGGGGCTTAGCTACGAGCTCTTCATTGTACGCCGTTCCATTAGGCCAAGACTCTCCATACACCAAGAAGTTAATATCTCCAGACTTGGTGATGGCCGTCTTGAGGCCAGAAAGCGGCGCCGGCAGCGAAGCTGCCTTGTAGGCACTATGCGGAAGTTAGGAACGTTTTATCCAAATGGATATGCATGTAAACTTACGAAGTTGTAAAATCAGAGGTATCTGACACCCAAATCTCGGTACCTCCAGGAATCTCGGCATTAGTGCCGTTGATATATAGCAGACCCGAGTTAGTAGACCCTAGCCAGGTCAATTCGGAGACATTGCTGTCGTTGGTAAGTTGAGTCACTTTTCCAGTCTCCAGATCCAGCAGACTCCACCATGAAGATGTAACATGGGTCTCGAAGGAGTACTCAGAGGTGGAAAAAAGCGCGACTTCCTATGTCAGGTCAATAACATTGTCGATATCTATATACAATAGGGCAACTCACCCCCGATGGATTGGGAATAGCCTCACCCCGTCTCGGTGCCGAGATAAGCTCTCTACAAAAAAATATAAGCAAACAAGCCAAGCACAATCAGTCAATCGGGTGGGAAGATCAGCACTGACTCGGGAGTAAGGGCTGCCGCAGAAACAATGATCGACCCGAGGGCCGTCGTCAATTGAAACACACGCATATTGACAATCAGGTATACACCCACACAGCTCAAGAGAAACGTGCAGAAAACCAGATGGGTTGCATTCCGGACCGACACCGAGATATAAGTGTTATGACCCCACACGCGCAGTGGGCTAGCAGCCATGGCGGAGAGGGTACTGTGCCGTCGAAGGGGGCATGTTACATTCCTCGGTGCCAAGCCAGATATGCATGGTGTTATTTTGTGCTATCGGCCGCTTCCAAGGCATTAGGAAGACGTGCTATGAACAAAGAAAGGCGGATGCAGGGCCGATTATAGGCCCGAGCAAGGTTTAGCTGCTTGGCTTGCTGCGCCAAGTACGCCAAGCACCGCGGAGTCCGCCGCTGATAGCCGGAATGATAGAATAATCTTAGTCATGATATTGGATGCCAATCAACAGGGGCTTTGTTTTAGAAGATAGTTAGATTTTAGCTTAAAAATAAATGAATTGATTGGTACCCACGAGTTTTGTTGTTGCCCCATGATCATAAAGAGGCACAAAAAGCTAGAAGTGGCACCATGGTAAGCCCTAATGACCCCAACTGAGCAATGGTGCTATTCTAGAAAATGCATACGATTGGGAGAGGCCGTTATCAGTATCCAATGAATTCAATTACACTCGCTATAGTGCGCCTGACAAAATCGCTTCAATACTCAAAGTCATCATCCACACCTCCCTTGCTCGTAGTCTCCTTGGTGACTGCTTCTTGCTTCCGATACATCTCTGCCACAGCACGAGTGGTAGTAGCCTCATCTGGTTTTTTATCGTCGCGAGATTTAATATACCGCGGGAAACGCAGAGACACGCCCTTTCCAGCGTCGGTTGTTCCTTGGAACTCATCCGCAGCGGCTTGGTAACGGGGGCTGAGGGTCAAATCGGCTGTTTTCACTTCCCACACCAGTCTTGGCTCAAACCAAACATCCGGTTGGTCCTTAGGGACGGCTGAGTGAGTGTAAAATGGCTTTGGGCGGTCAATCACCAGGGGAACTAGCGTTTGGTGTAGCTCTTCAAGTAGCACTTCAGAGAAGCCGGTGCCGATGTTACATATAGTCTCATATGTGTCGCTGTTGGGGTTGTAGGCAGCGAGAAGGAAGGCACCGTAAACCGAAGTACGTTTTCCACGACCATAATAGGCCCCTAGGACGACAAGATCGAGGGAGTCACCAACACCGGCGAGGTAATCTTTTTTGACCTGTATAGAGGTTAGCAACGGTTGGAGTAATTAACAACAGAGGCTCCATACCTTCAGCCAGTTGCGACTCCGCTTGCTTGGCTCGTAGCCACTCTCTTCTGTGTCCAGCATCTTCACCATAAGACCCTCACAAGAAGCTTTAACACTGGCCTCAAGCAATTCCTGGATCTCGTCGAGGACATTAGAATTGCCATATTGGGCAAACTGGAACTCCCCCTCAATTGGTTGGAAGCATTCATGCATAAGCTCTCGTCGTTCCCGTAAGGACTTCTTCACGCAGGGCTGTTGAAAGGTTAGCGAGAACAACTAGGTATAGCCCAAAGCGACTCGGTGTGCCTCTTTCTTCTCCCATCATCCCCGCCGCAAGTCGCAAAGAACACCGAATCGCTCTAACATAGACATTAAACAAATTATCTTACCTCTCCATTGAAGAAAAGCAGATCAAAGGCGTACACGCAAACTTTGACCTTGACATCTTCCGCTTTGACGTCCTTGCGCTTGCGAGTCATCAGTTGCTGGAATGGAAGAACCTTTTTGGCCTCCATATCCCATGCGACAGTCTCGCAATCCAGAACAAAGCTCTTAACGTCGGGTTTGACCCACGTGTGAAGCTTGCCTAGAACATCAGGATACTTCTTTGAAAGATCTTCCGAGTTGCGGGAGAAGATTGAGGAGAGTCCCTTGCTATCCTTTTGTAATGTGTCCAAGGCACCAGGGTGTTGGTGGATAGAATCCGGAGACACAAAATGGATCTGGGCTCTTTCTCCATCGTACTTATATTCGCAAGTGAATTCCTTCCCTTCGAACCGGTCAAGGACTTCGGTGATTGACTTGGTCGGTTTGGCAAGCATAGGCTTGATAGGGATTCCGGGAGAAAGTTTGCACACTTCGGGCAGCTTCATGAGACCATGCTCAAGAACGGCAGGAATGATTACTTCGTAAGCAGGAAGCTCGCTGTAAACAGTCTTGAAAATGTTTTCGCCTTCGACCATCTGCTCTGCGGACGGGATCTTATTGCCAGCTGATTCAGCCTCGTGGGTCTGGACAGCTCGAGAAACAGCCACAAGAACCGTCTTCTCTGCAAGTCCCAGTCTTAGCTTACCTTCCAAAAATCGAACAATGAATTTGGCTTCGCTAGGACCGCCTTTGTTTTCAGTGATGTCTACTCCCTTGCCAGCAGTGTCGGCATCAGCAGCAGCCAACAGTTTCTTGATTCCTGAAATCTTTTTGTCCTGAGACCCGTGACCTTGGACCTTGGCGATTCCAAGAAGACCTTCATGCACACCTCGAACAGTCAAAGGTTTGGGTTTGAACATGGTAGGCTGGTTCGACCGACTTTTGGCAGCGACCAGTCCCAGGTCTCCGATTTCCCTTTGATCAGCTTTGATAACGGCAAGGCTGCGGCCGGTACATTCACCAATAGCTTTCATGATCAGCGACTCTCCGATGCCCAGTTCAATTCCGGCATAATCAGCAGCCAGCTTATTGATCATCAGCTGGACAGTGGGTAGGAAATCGGCAGGGGTCAAGCGAAGAACCTGGCGAAGGAAGAGAGAACAGTGGTCCGTGATTTCCAGGCGCTTTCTGGTCATCTCTACCAGAGAAAAAGTGGTACATAACGCAGCATACGGAACAGGAGCGCCTGCTTTCCAGTCTGGGTATGGATCTTTACCACTGCCTTTCAATTTGGCTTGGAATTTCTCGATTGATTTCTTCGTGAGCTCCGGTTTGAGGTCATCTTCATCCTCGCTTTCTAATGGGTCCTCCTCCTCTTCTACCGACGGTGACTTCTCTTCAGGAGTAACATCGGAGGGCTTTTTAATGGCAGGTTTTGGTGATGGCGATTCGATCTTTGGCTTTGTAGGCTCAGGCTTTTTCGGGGATGCGGATTGCTTCTTGGCAGCTGGAGAGGTCTTTGCCGAGACCTTTCGTCGCCTCTTAGAAACAGGTTGGACATCGGAACCATCGCTTTCTTCCGCCTCGGCGCTCTTTTCCCGTTTCACACCCTTCGTTGGCTCTGTTTCATTGAGGGAAGCAGTTGGTGTTGGGTCGGTGGCGTCTTCCACTTTGACTCCGTTGGTGTTGTCCTTTGTATCTGCATCGGCAGCTTCACTGCTTGCTGCTTGTCTCGTTCCACCAAAGGCTAATGTGGTTTGTTTCTTCGGCGGTTGGCTGGCACCGGAGCCGAAAAACCTCCTACAAAACGAATGGAATGAATTAGCGGAATGAACCAAAACGAGAGCTGAGATGTGTCAGCATGAAAGGGCGCATGCGCCATCGAATACTGTCGACGCACCCAATCGTCTGCTGTCCATCCCGTACATACCCCAGGGTAGCCTGCTTCCTGCTCTTGTCATCGGCCATGATTCGCGATGGTGAGAATATTTTCAAATTAGAATTTTGCTGGGTTGCAATACTGGTAGATAAAACGCCCGTCGATAGCTTCGAGATTGGTGTGGTCAAAAAGTTGTGATGTCCTGCAGATCGTATGCAGAAGCTAGGTCTCGAGCGCGAGAGCGATAAAAGCGCAAGCTTTTGAATTCGCAAAACCCGCATAGATGTTTCTCTCGGAGTCAAATGGACGCGGAATATGGCCCAATATATATTCCGAGCAGACCAGAGCCCCAATTGAAATAGCCAAGGCAACACTGGTTGTTACTTTGTGTCCCAGGCAGCTGTCGGGATTCTCACGCGTTGAGACGCGCTAATGTATCACGTGCAGCGTTATCTTTCCCGTTTAGGATAGATTAGGTTCACCGCTCAATTATGCCGGCAGATGATGACAGAGCGGTGCAGTTTTGGGATGCAGTCCCGCTGTATTCGATCGCGATGGGTCCGCTAGATGGTGTTTACAATGGGGCTCTTGATGTTTGACTGATCTAGACTACTCAATACCCAGCTTACTATCTTTTGACTCTGACGCTGCCCGGCGTTGTTCGGCTGCAATGGACAACCTCCGGCAGGAATCTTTCAAACAGGTATGAATGATATGCTTCATTCGGCTTTTAAGACGAACAGTGCTGATCTCTGAATAGCTCCGAGCACCGTGCGTGGAACTTAGCGCTGTGGGCCTCCGTTTCCGAGGAAATCAAGCTTCCGCCGCCGATGTATCCCGAGTCCTCGAGCCGGTGCACAACTGTTTGAAGGAACTCGCGGGGAACAATACCCTCGACGAGAAGCTAGCTGAATATGCATTCTTCCCATTGTCGCATATCTTCAATGAAACGCAGAGACTACCCGCGCGATGTTTGGAGTCCGCCGTCCATTGTCTGCGGATACTGGTTGCCGATGGATGGCGGCAACGACTATCTCCTGCAATGGGCAAGCAACTCATAATCCTGTTGACATTGATCGTGGGGGTTCTCCAAACAAGGCGGAAGAGAAGCAACTACCGAAGCCTAAGGTTTCGGAAGAACTGTGCATTGCTGGGTTTGACTGCCTGAGTGCTATCTTCACGGTCTTGGGAGGAACTGTTCCAGAACGGACAATCTATCACGAAATTGGTACCGCGACGGTTGTCGATCAGACAGTATATATCCTGCTAGAGGGAATTGTCGATGATAGATCAGATGAGCTCTGCCTGGCAGCCGCCAAGGCCTTGCAAGCACTATATGCTCGAGTCACAGACCGCGTGGTGCTTGCCAGCATCATGCCGCGAACTGTGTCGGCACTGGCTAAGGTTCTAAGGCCATCAACACAAACTCGAAGGTCCTACAAGCTCCTCCAGACTTCCTTGCAGATTCTCACGCAGCTTCTAAGAGCTGTTCTCAATGACCGTGTAGCCTCGGAAGTCTCCCCGCCTGAGCTGGGAAGCGATAAGATAGCTTTGGATGAATCCTGGTTGAAGGCCACGACAACGCAGATTAAGCTTGCGCTGGCCAATGTTATCCAGGTTCGCCGTCATCAACGACCAGAGGTACAGTCTGCCGTGCTAGAGCTATGTCTGATGGTAATCGAAGAGTGCCAGACCACACTTGCAGAGTCTCTCCCTATGATGGTTGAAACAGTTGTTGTTCTCGCAGATAAAGAGGACGAGGGAGTGAATGAAGCTTACCGGAATGTAACTCATCTTGCCACAACATACCCCACAGTGCTGGATTCTTTGAAAGAATCGCTGCATACCTGGCTCACTTCTTTCCCTCGAATCATGCAAGGCAACGATGAAACTGCTAAGCAATGGGGGCTTCGTCAGATCTCTACTGTCTTCCAGGTCCTGTCCCAAGTTCAATCTGGGTCAGATTTGCTTACGAGCGGTTTGGCATCTGGTCTATGTGACAGCGTCGGTGCCGTTGTCAAACAAAACACCAATGCTCTCCAGCCGTTAGCCTCAATGGATGCCGGATTCAACTGGGAGGTGCTCAGTACCGATGCTAGATCTAAGGTGTTTCCACCCATTATTTTGGAACACCAAAGTCAGCAACAAACTCTCAAAGATCTACGGTCAATGATTACTAGATTGAACTTGTCTGAGTCTGGAAATGAGATCACTCGATCCATTGTCAACCGTATGCACACGACATCAAGTGATTCCGTCATTGCACCTTTCTGGTTGGCCATGACTTTCTTGCGGGACAGCACTGCGGCGACAGCCGACTTTGACGATTTCATCTCTCTTGATCAAGTTGACGGGCCTGTCTCGTCAACTGGCCGTGGTGGAATGATTGAAGAATTGTATTATATCTCATTGAATATACTTAACGAACAGTCAGTTGATGGAACAAGTGACTGGCGTACATCAGCCCTCGCTCTGGAATCTGTGGCCCTCCAAGCTCAACAACTCGGCGAGGCCTTCCGGCCTGAACTCATGGACGCGCTCTACCCAACTTTACAGCTGTTGGCATCACAGAACCCTAACCTTCAACGCCACGCCATGACATGCCTGAATATCTTGACCAATGCCTGTAACTACCCAGACACGAGTGCTATGATCATTGAAAATGTGGACTATTTGGTGAACTCCGTCGCGTTGAAACTTAATACCTTCGATGTATCACCCTATCCGCCGCAGGTCCTGTTTATGATGGTCAAGCTTTGTGGTTCCCGGTTGATACCTTATCTGGATGATCTGGTTGATTCTATCTTTGGTATCCTGGATCTATACCACGGATATCCCAAACTCGTTGAGATGATGTTCAAGACCCTAGCTGCGGTCGTCGAGGAAGGGGCGAAGAAACCGTCTTTGCTCACAATCGACGAGGGCAAAGAGAATGGCTCCCGCGATACTCGCAAGTCGCATTACCAAAATATCTCAATCGCAAGCATCGCCGCGAATATTGCCAACCGCAAAGCTAAACGGCATGCCGAGGATGAACTAGCAGATGCTGATGGCAAAATCCCCCATCCCAAAAAGCCATGGTCAGAAACATATGACAAACCTCCTCCAGAGCCGTCCATCGAAGAGCTTCTAAACCAAGCCGAATCGGACGAGCCGCCACTCCCACCCCCAAAAGAACCAGAAGACGCCGAGAAACCGTTGAGCAAAACCCATGCTCTCCTCCTCCACATCGTCAAATCTATCCCATCCCACCTAACCTCACCATCACCCTACCTCCGACGCTCCCTCCTCTCAATCCTCATCGATGTCCTACCCGCCCTATCCCAAAACGAAACGAGCTTCCTCCCTCTAATCAACGAGCTCTGGCCAACAGTAGCAAGCCGGATAATCTTCCCCTCATCACAAGCAAACGAAAAATCCAAATCCCTTATCGCAACCTCGTCCACAGAGCCAACCCGAAACCCTGAAACCCCAGACCACCAAGAAGAAACCTTCGTCACTGTAACAGCATGTGAGGCCATCGAAGCAATGTGCAAAGGCGCAGGCGATTTCATGGCCACGCGCGTCGAAACCGAATTCTCCCGCTGGGACCGGCTGTACCGTCGCGTATGGGAAAAAGTGCGCGCAGACGCCGAGGCTGCGAACGAGCGCCGTGCCAGGTCCCAGGCTACGACTGTGACTGTTGCCCCCGCGGAATCAGGAGATCTAGCGTCTACTCTACACTTGGCCCTTTCTTCGTCCCTTTCGCTCTCGCCGTCAACGCCCGGGTCAAGATTCTTCACGCCGCACCACCGTCTGTGGCGTGCGTTGGTCTCGCTCTTTATCACGGTTCTTTCGCATGTCCGGTTACCATTGGAAGTGGGTGATAGGATTTGCGAGATGCTTGGTGACTGGATTGCACTGTTTGTCGGACCTGAGTATTACTTCATTTCTTCGAGGCCTTCTACCTCTATGGATGAGGCTGCGTCTGGTGAAGGCATGGCTTCTGTTCAGGATGCGATTCAGGCGATGGAGGCTTGGAATGTGGATTTGACCTGGTTTGTCTTTATGCGGCATCGCTTGAGAGCGGATGTGGTTACTACTGGCAATGCTGGGAACTGTGGTGGCGCTACTAACATCCCTTTCGGTGGCGAGGGGGAGCAGGTTAGACTTGCTGAGGTGGCGTTCTAGTTCTTGCATTTCATTGTTGATAGCATTGCATAGAATGAGATATGACTATATTTTATTTTGCTCTACTTCATTTCTAGGTGTACTGAAATGCCACTAATGCGGACGAAAGTGGAATGATTGATACCATATTGATATTCATTGTAAAGGAGTGGCGATTGGTGAGCTAAACCCAAATGACAACCGAAGTGATCAGTCCAAGCGAGATGGGAAGGTCAAACAGGGGTCCAAAAATGCTTGTGCTCAATCTAAGAATGGACGCAGATAGCAAACAACGAAGGATAGATAATAGCGTAAGCGACGTTTACCGTCTACTCGCTTTCTTCTTCACTCTCCTCATCGCTCTCGGCATTCTCGAGCCACTCGATGAAGGGCTTGGCAGCCTTGTGGATCTTCTTGCTGGTCGAAATGTCGACGTACTTCTTGCTGGTCTTGGCACCCCACGCCTTGAGGGTTTCCTCAGACACAAGGTCGTTCTGGTAGTAGCCCAACAGGATGGCAGGGATCTGGGCGACCAGTTCTGGGTGATCCTGGCCAACGAAGCGCTCGGTACCACCGAGGAAAGCCTTCTCATGACGATCGGAAGTGATCAGCTTCTTGAGCAAACCAGCGCGGCCTTCGATCTGCTTGGCAATCTTCTCGTCGAAGATACTCTGTGCCAGAACGGCGCAAGTCTTGTGCTTGGTCTCAATGCCGAACTCCTTAGCCTTCATGTAGATCTCAACATCACTGACGTTGGTGACGCCGCCCTTCTCAGCAGCGGTATCAACGATCCAGCTTCCCAGCTGCTCGTAGGACGAGGGTCCATCGGCTCCCTCATCGTCACCATCCTCAATGACAAGGGCACGCTTGAGGTCCGAGGGGAGATCCTTGGCACGAGCCTTCACGGCCTCCTCGGAAACGTCAACAGCCCACTCATCATCCTGGATCTCGGCCTCGGCCTCGATGGCCTGAGCCTGACGGGTCACTTCATCATCGCTGTTAGCCTCGAGGGCGAAATCTCCATCCTCGCCATTCTCGGAGTTGTTGCTGTCACCGGGACTGGCATCCTCGCCATTGGCAGCCTTCTCCTTCTCTCGCTCACGGCGGGACTTCTTTTTCTCCTTCTTGCCACCCTTGGGGTTGTTGCGAACGATGAAAGTGCTCAGCTTGAGGCGAGGATCGACATCGGAGCGCTGACCACAAGCCTTGCAGTCCAGGGTAATTTTCTCGTCCTTGATAAAGACATCGGTCTCGGGGTTCTTGCACTTCTTGCACAGCACAAACTTGGCGATGAAGCCGTCGAGGTAATCCTGGAGCTTGGGGGCATCGTGAGAGCCGTTGATGATCCAACGGTCGTCGGAGGGCTTAGCGTTGGCCTGGGCACCAAGTTCAAATCCGAAGTACTTGATGAGATAGGCAGGAGGCCGACTGAGGGACTGGGCAACTGAGTTCAGGTTGACGACAACGGTCTTAATACCGTTGCCCTTGCCCTCGACCTTAGCCTGGAGCTTCTCCATCTTGTAGCGATAGAAGGGATCGGTGATATCCCGGCGAATGTTGACGGTGGCCATGATGACGGTTGAATTGAGCGATTAGTTCACTAAAATGGAATAGTGGGCTTGCTTAAGGGAAAGCTGGAAGGATTCTGAATGAAGATTTTGTTGACGAGACAAGACATGCGTGTCAAGTTTCTTTTTTTGAGGTATAAGAGGTGATTTCTTAGGAAAAAGTCACGAGAAATCGAGGAAAGATCCGGGTTATTCAGCCACAGGATCGAAGGTGTATGCTGCAAGGTTTCGGCGCGCGAAACGTTTGCAGCTTGAGCGGCAGGTGATGTTCGAAATTTTGGACGGAGGACGAATACATAGACAAGTTCGCGGGAAACTTCTCAACGTGTTGCTTTCTGGGAACGATTGAAGTTCTTTGGGGAATCCGAGTCAGAGGTCGGGGACCTTTTGGCGGACGGTGAAAATTGATGGTGGCGAAGCCGAACTAACCAGTGATGCAAATTGAATAGCGTAGAACTGAAATTCCACGCGGTAGGTAGATAAAGGCTTCGAAAATAACCGATGCCTGTAAGTGTTTGTGTGTTGTTGGGGGAAAGGAAGAGGAAGAAAAGGAAAAGCAGAATTTGACAAATCACGGTTATGTCAGCCCGCACGTGCCGGAGTTAACTCGGAGTATAAAAAGACCTTTGACAGTTGAATATAACATCCTGGGACATCCTAGATATTCCAGAGTAATTTGGGGGGGAGGCTTTTCTTAAGTTTAAGCTTGCTTGAGTTTCAAAATAAACCCTTGACAATATTGAAGCATATAGAAGTGATATAAGTGATATAAGTAATTTTATATATCCGGACGAGTACAAGCCGAACCTTCCAGGAACCCCACCACGGCCACACAACCGTAAACGGCAATCTCCTTCAGTCACTTAAGTCCGGTGTTTTGTGTTGTACGAGTATAGCTTGCTGGCCCCAGTCAATACGCTATTCGTTTCGGTCTCTTTCTCTTTCTCGAAACGACCCCGGGTCTATTACTCCGAAACTCCCCACATTTCTCCGGCTCAGTGCCCAGACATCATGCCCGTAGATCTGTCGCTCTATCTGGTCACGGATTCGACTCCGGCCATTCTCAAGGGGCGAGATTTATGCACAGTGGTAGAAAAAGCTTTGCAAGGAGGTGAGTGGTACTCCAGTCTTTCTATCAATTATCCAACTAACCCCCCACTGCAGGCGTGACTGTGGTGCAATACCGAGACAAAACCAACGACACTGGTCTCCTGGTGGAAACTGCTCGGAAACTACACCAGGTAACCAAGAAATACAATGTGCCTCTTCTAATCAATGACCGGGTCGATGTGGCTCTTGCCATTGGTGCCGAGGGTGTACACCTTGGTCAAGATGATATGAGTTCGTTGCTACGATTCTCCAAATATATATACAAACATGTACTAATGTCGGATATAGAATTCACGGAAGCAAAGAAACTTCTTCCGGAGAATGCCATTATTGGTATCAGTACATCCTCAGTCGAGGAAGCTAAAAAGGCTGCCGCAGATGGCGCCGACTATATTGGAATTGGTACCATGTTTGCCACCCCCACGTAAGCTTGCATGTCTAATATACCACTATCCAGCAACTGGCGCTAACGATCCATAGAAAAACCAATACCAAGTCAGTCATCGGGACGGCAGGTACTCAAGTCATCCTAGATGCCATCAAGGATTCCACGATCGGCACTGTTTCCATCGGCGGCATCAACCACTCCAACGTGCAACGAGTGCTCTATCAGTCTAAGTCGCCAAAGAAAGCACTGGATGGAGTGGCCATTGTCAGCGCCATCGTGGCAGCCGATGACCCCAAAGCATCTGCCGAGCAATTCGTCGAGCTCATCCGAAACCCTCCTCGATTTGCGCAGGCTTCCAGTCCTCCCCGTGCTAACGAGGCTGAGGTCTTGTTGAATGAGGTGCCCCAAATCATCCGTAAGATGGTAGAGGTGCACCCCCTCGTACACAACATGATCAATTTCGTTGTGTCGAACTTTGTGGCCAACGTTGCCCTTTCTATGTCAGTATATTTATTGCATTTAGCCAAACCATTTCCCATGCTAACCATTCTATAGTGGCGCATCTCCCATCATGTCTCCGTATGGCGATGAAGCCACGGACTTGTGCAAGTTTGATGGGGCCCTTCTGATCAACATGGGTACATTGACTAGTGAGAGTGTCCCCAACTACCTAAAAGCCATCAAGGCATACAATGAGCGTGGCAACCCAGTGGTCTACGACCCAGTCGGTGCGGCTGCGACACACATTCGCCGTAACGCAGTGACTCAGCTCATGGCCGGTGGTTACTTTGATCTGATTAAGGGTAACGAAGGCGAGATTCGCCAAGCTTGGGGTAGCAGTGCTGTTCAGCAGCGTGGTGTCGACAGTGGACCGAGTACCCTTGACAGCAATCAAAAGGCCACCTTGGCTAGGGATTTAGCTCGCAGAGAACGTACGTATACTTGAGAGTATCTATCTATGAGTGTTGTCTTCTAACTTTACATAGGAAACGTTGTGCTATTGACCGGAGCAACAGACTACCTCAGCGATGGTGAGCGGGTCATTGCCGTTGAGAATGGCCACCCATACTTGGGCCAAGTGACCGGAGTACGCAACATCTTCTAGTCCCTATTTCTAGTGCACGGCTAACATGTATTTATAGACTGGCTGTGCCATCGGTACAATCTCCGGTTGCTTCTTGGCTGCCCACCGCTCCGACAGACTCCTCGCGGTTCTATCTGGAATTCTCATGTACGAGATCGCAGCGGAGAACGCAGCAGCCAAAGAGTATGTTCGTGGCCCAGGCAGCTTCGTCCCGGCATTCGTCGACGAGCTTTATGCTATCCGCACAGCGGCGGCAAACGGTGATGACAGCTGGTTTGCCGGCCGGGCCAAGGTGCATGAGGTGAAGCTATAGATACCTAGACTAGTAAACGAGCGATGTGTACATACCAATGCAAAAATTTGGCCATCATTTATTGAGGGCTGCAATAAAACATCAAAGACCAGGGCATATGAAGTATACCAGACCATCTTCCCTCGGCTGCTTCCCCGCATCTCCGACTTCTCCGATTCCCCGCGTTCCCCCGCCAATTCTTCTTTTCTTCAACTTCTTTTATATCTACATCCTACCAGAATCTCAAATACAAACTACCTAACTGTCGCAATCATGGCTACTCTCACGCGCGCATCTCGAATTCGTAAGGACCCCACGATACACACAATGCATGTCACTAACATCAAACCAGGCAATCCCGCACTCTTGTATGTAGAACACTCAGCATCGAAAGAGCAAAGATACCCTCAAGACCAAAACTAACCGCCCATCCTATCACAGCATCTGCGACATCCAAGACAAATTCCGCACTGGAATCTACGAGTTCCCCAAACTGTACGAATCTCATGTCCCCAAAATAATAGAATCCCAATGGCCAACCAACCAAACAGCGTCTCAACAACAGAAAAAATGCTCCGCGCAGCCTCGGCCCCCTCAAACCCCCGTGTTCATAACAACCCAAAACCGCGCCAAACTTGGCAATACTGTACCAGAACTCCAACAACACCTCAACGGCCCACACATCCGAGCCGACGTAGACAAAACCCTCTTCTCAATGATAACCCCAGAGATTGAGAAGTTACTCCCAGCGCCAGGCTCGACGCCCCTTGACGTTATAATCGTCGGACTCGAGACGCACATTTGCGTGACGCAGACTACCCTCGATCTTCTCGAGCGCGGCCACCGAGTTTACATCCTCGTTGATGGCGTTAGCAGCATTAACCCCGAGGAGAGGGGTGTTGCGCTTGCAAGATTGAGGGATGCTGGAGCTGTTGTGACGAGTAGTGAAAGTGTGCTTTTTGAAATTCTCGGTGATGCTTCGCATGAGGCGTTCCGGGCTGTTAGTGGGCTTGTTAAGGAGACTAAGGAGAGTACGAAGGGGGCTTTGGGGGTTTTTTCCAAGATTTGATTTGATGGGACTTAGTACTTTAGTTACTATACTAGGTGTTGTAGGAAATAATGCATTGTGGTATATGACTACATCATATGTACACTGTTTCGTCTAACTGATTTTCAGTGACTCGAAAACATCGTTTCTTTTAAAATCCGGAGGATTCCGGTATCCCATCCACACATCCAGCTTTACACCGGCAGATTCGGCTGCATCCGTGAGCGAGGATGGCACTTTCCATTGTCCCAATACGACAAGCTCGTCTACTCCGGGAGCAAGGATTGTTTCAAATGAGTGGATGGCCACTGTGTGTAAATTCGGAAGATGCGTCCTCTTATGCTGGATCAGATCAAGAATGGAAGGGTCACACGAATCACTCTCGAGAAAGTAGAACTGAGTGAGGTCTGTATCGTCGTACCAGATCTCTAATACCTCCAGACTGCGAGGTAAGCCTTTCCAGACCCCATGCGGATCATCCCATCCGCAAAGGAAGACGTGGTAAATGCGTAGAGTTGTAAGGGATGTGAACTCGCTAAGATCAATCCGAGGTCCATCCCCCAGCCCTTCATGTTCAAGCGGTGGGCGTGTCATTGTCAGTTCTGTCAACGTTGTCTTTTGTGATTGCAGTGCGCGCACAAAAGCAGCACATGTCCAGCTTTTGGCTGGCTCGTCCCCATAATGGCCCTCCCACTCGCCTTGGTCGGCGTCGTAGTGAAGCGTCTTCAAAGCTGCCGGCCAGCTTAATACAGCGGCTAGAGCCTCTTCGTGCGCCCCGCAATCAATCAGCTTGAGAGATTCGACGGGTGAAGTGCCAATATGTGAGTTGTTTTCAAATTCCAATGGCTCCCAATCGCTGAACTTGTGAATAGTAAGGGCTTGGATGTTGGAGAACCAAAAGAATCGATGGAGATCATAAATCGAGTCATCACATGGAAGGATCGCCGAGACGATATGTTCCTCGAGACTTGGGTCTTTCTCAAGACTTTGCTTTAGCTGTTGCAGCGGAACCGGCTCTCCGTAACGACCATATCTGCGGACAAATATATTACGATAGAACAGTGGCCGCAGAAGAAGACCATTCAGGCGATAGGTGGCAAGCAGGAAAGAATGAAGGTCTCTGACGATTGGTGAAGGATTCTGCTCGATCGCGTAGCGGTAGGCATCCCCAATTTCATGGAGTATTAGTGATACCTTCTTCGTGCCTGCTTGTAGGTAGTCAACGATGAGGAGAATCACTTCAGCTGGAAGATCTAACAGACGTGCCATGATTCTTTTGCTCTTTCTGGATCTGGATCAACTCTGGCAAATTTGAAAGTGAAATTGAAACGAAGACAGAAGAAGACCACGACGGTAATCTTGCCAGGAAAATGCTAGCATAAGCCCATGTTTATAATAAATTCTGCACTCCAGGCTCCAGCCCTCAAGGGAGGCTCTTAAGGCTCCAGGGCTCCAGGGCTCGCTCGACTGATTACTAATGTGGACCCAGGCACGGCCCCGGGGATGCCCAGGTGGTATGCTAAGTGTTGGCATTGGCCATAGAACTTTGGGTGGTAATCATAACAGTGTTTTTGATTTTATTTTATTTTTGTAGGTCCTGTCCATTGCCATCAATTCCGACAATACTACAAGTGAAAAAAGAAAAAGTGGCTGTCGGCAGCCTCGGGACCCAGGGCCTGATCTCCTTCTCACTTTTGCCTGATTCCCGAGGAATCACAACCCTTCCGTATCATGCCGTAAAACCCGAGATAATTTCAGATCCGGATGTAATCAAACATAAAATCCAAGTCCTAGTCTGTTTCATCTAGGACGAGGTGTGGTGGTGGGGAGGGTTAAGCCATCCAAACGCCGATGCACCACCCACGGGATTCGGCGTACCATGCTGGGTAGAAGGAGTAAGCGGTAGAGACGACCTGTCGCCCTTTTCAGTGGTAGCACTGCTAGGGGCCGATGCTGAAGTTGTGGGGTTCGCATGGCTCGCAGACTTTCCGGTGCGGAAGACTTTCATCTCACGCTTATCGGCCGGTTTTTTGGTAGTGCTAGTGGATTTCATAGCATCGCGGCGCCACGGGCCGCCCCAAGAAGGCACATCCTCGGTCTTAGTAGGCTCAGAAGTCGCTGGGGTGGCAGGGGGTGGACGGGTTTCGGCTGAAATGTGAGCATGAGGCTGGACGTTCTGTAGATTGGATTTGTGATGATCGGTGTTCTCGCTGCCAGGCAGACGAGTCGATGGGGGTGCAGAGGCCGGTTTTTGCTGAACATTGGCAGGCCGGCCAATGATACCAACTGATGGATTTGCGTGAGTAGGAGGTCCTAGTATGTCTCCAGAATTGGGAGTACTAGAAGAAGTGCAAAGAGATTTGAAGACGGAGTCCTTTTCGGGACGCACAAGGGGGACAGACACACGGTTGTGGTCGTCGTCCACCATGATCAGCTTATCTTGCGAGAACAAAATATCAGCATTGTGCGCACGCATCACATCACTCCCGATGATGATTTGAATATTATCGCTGACTTCTGTCTCGCGAACCACAAAGCGGACGGTCAATGCAGGAACTTGATGAGTAGGGGTTCCGGGGCGCGACGAAGATGGATGAATCAGTGCTTCGGGGAGATAGAGCGGAAGCTTGATGTATTGAGCATCACAATCACGAACGATCATGTTCTCCATCCCAAGATTGCGGATCATGGAGAGACCCAGAGTTGAGACGTAAGAGCCGGAGCAAACGGCTGCGTAGAGGAGAGAACCATTAGTGAAATTATTAGTCAACCAGCACCGAATGATGGACGGGACCGGTCCCAACAAGAAGAGTCCAGGAGGGGGAATCAAAGGGGATTCAATAGGTGTAGTGCCGAGGAGCCGAGTGGTGTTCAGACGCAGGCTATTAGTCCGAGTGGAATGGAGTGAGTGACCAGATGAGCTCAATCGCCCATCGGATTGGTGAGAAAACGTGCGCTCAAGAAGCGGGTGGGTACTTAAACCGCTGCCGGTCCGCAGAGGGAGGTCATTGCTGGAACGGCTAGCCTGTGCGTTTCCGTGGATAGCACTTTCATCAAAACGGACGCTGTTGGCGCGCGACGCACCCCGTCTAGGCTCGTCCTCGCTTTCAAACCCCACAGCAGAACTAGTCATTGCGGAATGGTGAGCTTGATCGAATCCTTTGAAAGCATCCGGGGGAGAGTGAAAAGTGGGGTCCGGAAGGGATGTTTTGGTAAATGGCGAACTAATGCTGGACGGCAGAGGTGGGCTACCTGGAGCGATTGTCCCAACTGAATGCGGAAATGGCGAGACAGGGCACCAAGGACTCCTCAGCCGCGCATCGTCGTCTCGGCGACGCTCCAGTTGCGCGAGCCGTTCTCCTTGCTCGTACTGGGCAATGTGGAGCTCCTTCAACTCGTCAAAGACACGCCAAATATCGTCACGGGAAGCAAAGGGATACTGCGCATCCATTGCCAATCTAGTGTTTTAAATTCAAGGGAAAAAAAGAAAGTAAACAAATTGAGGCGGGGTAGTTGGAATAGTCCGCTCTAAGAGCAGGGGCACGAAAGGCAGCACTGGAATTGGACACCTTTTCTCCAATATCCCCTTCCGCCTTCGATCTGTGAGACGGCCCACCGGCCGTCCACCCTGTCTTCGAAGGTCAAGTATCCGGGGACTTTATCTGAACATCCAGCAGTGAGTTGAGGGAAATAGACGGTGGTATTGGCACAGATGAAGGAAATGCCCGGGCGTTCCAAGATCGTCGGTATTGTAGTGAGGGCTTCTTGTTGAATTTTAGGTGATTCGCAGACGACTTCAAGTTCACAGAAAGATGCGACGACGTTTTCAGTCGCGTAGAATATGTGATGCGCCACGCACAAGTTGCGTTACGGATGATTTAGCCGTCGAAGTGCAAGCGGAGTCAAGCAAAATGGAGAGCAGAGTACCACAATATTGCCGTTATGAAGGTCGTAGAAGGATAATAAAGACACGAAGGAGAAGTTTTTTAGGTAGCAAATCTAGCACTGGGATGAAAGGATTGTTATTATTGTCATTGAGCCGCGTAGTTTGGACCGAAGCCATTGTCACTGTGGTAGGCGGTGACGCACAGTAGGATAGGGCAGGGAGTAAAAGGCGGAGTACAAGGCGGAGAGAATGGTGGAGGTCAAAAAGGACGATCATAGGCCCTACTGACGTAGGGCTAGACCTTCTAACCTTGGAAGGTTACTTCGATTGACTCCACTACTCCAAGACACCTATAGTTACCTATTTTTCCTACCTCTAACTAGACATTAGGGTGAATATTGTGTCTACAACAAGCACTTCACGGTTAATGCCATGCTATCTCAGCTCATATTACGCTGGTACCCTCCTGTATTGCTGAAAGAGTGATCTACAGGGTGTACGGTCTTCATCCGATTTTAATACACAGAATATCAACACAAAGATTCGTGCTGTTACATCGAGTGAGATTTATACCCTATCTACCATTCCCTGACTGAATGTCACCATTTTTCTATGCCGCAGCCTGCAGAGCCCTAGGCTTATCTATGGGTCAATACTCAATAATATCATATCCATTTGGCAACCATATTCAGTATCACCAGTTACATATACAAGGCTATCTGATGGATTAGTAGGCCGTAATATTCTTCCATGCGAACTGAAAGACTGATAAAGCATCCATAGGTAGGACTAGCTATCTTTATACTCCTCCATTTCATTTGTCTCTTTTCCTTGTCAATTATTTTCTTCACTCTCACCTCAAAACTCCCCAGTACATTATCTTAATATCATACACATTTCATAGTGCCTCATTAGTCCTACGAATGGTAGACTTGTGGATAACTAGCCGCACAAAGAGGATGAGATTGTTTGCTGTGCAGATTTACACTTGTCATACGCATAGCCAAAAGCCATAGCATAAATGCTTAAAGCTGGACCAAGACTTTGTGATATACCTGCTCGAAGACCGGCTATGGTAATGAGACTTTACTATTAAGAAAATTGAGAATTCCACTCTACTTAGTATGTGGTTATGCACTCGATTATATCGTTCTAGGCTATGTTTCCCTGCACCAACGCTTAGCGAATTCATACCGTGTAGTGTTGACTTATCTTGGATGCTTCGAAGCGGAGTTGTCGTTATTACCTACCTCTAGTGACATACTTGCATTCCCATGCCTAACATCTTTGATTGGGTACGTGAATCTGATTAAGAGAGTTTAGTTGAAATTGACTACATTCTTATGAAATAGCTTGACGGAAAGTCTCTATATTAGCAAATAGCCACTGCCTAGCAAAAAGAGAAGGTCATATAGCAGCTAGTTGGCATATTCGTCGAGATTAAGAAGTATCTAAGTAATAGGATCACTTATCTTCACAGGGATGTTATGAACGTTCAAGATCTTGCAGATCAATTGATTTTCCGACTAGGAAAGGGGCCATTTAGTTCATTCTATCCTTCGTTCGAGGGCTTACAGATTATCCTATTCCTCGTGTATAATGTGGTGTATAATGTGGCCGGTGGCCGAGTTCTATAACAAATCCAATAAGCTAGCTGCGGGTGAATTGCGGCTAATTATCTTTCGTCAGAAGGGCCGTGGAGATCTTGCCATATATTTCGTCTATGGTAAAAATGTTCAAAGGCTTTCTTTGTTTTTGGGGCCTCAAAGCTCTTTTCTAGATTTGCAGACACTCCCACATCGACTATTCACATGGCTTCAGCGGGTCTTCAACTTGGAAGACGAGGGGGATAGGAGACATAGAAGAGCAAAATATGGAAATATGGTGGCTGACTTGTTGGAACTAGCCCAACAAACTGGGGAAGAGCCAGTCGCCATGTGACAGCCCTGGACCATGTTGGAACTATATAATGTTGACTTCGGGTTATACCGGCTTCTCTCCGTATCTACCCGAGTTACCCTGCCCCACAATTATTCTTATCGGCAATCAACATGGATCACGATTCGGATTATCCTCCCTCCGATTTATCCTCATCATCGTCTGAAGACAATAAAAAGAAAGCTCCAACCATGGATTCTCGTCCAACCGCCAAGGAGTTGCTTGGTACGTGCTAAATTCGAGCGACTTCAGCTTCACATTTACTCCATTCCTTTTGACTAACGATGTATTTCGGTAGATCGCGTCGACTATGATATCTCGCAGCTGCTGCAGCGGTTCGAGAACATCGTCGCCATTGCTGCCAACAAATTTGACGGCACCAGTCACGTTGATGCTGCTGTGGAAGCTTTCCAAATTGATGTCGAATCCACTGCCTTGGTATGTTGACATGCACCGCCCCAGTCTCACCCGGCTAGCTCTAGCCTTCCCAAGAAGGATGCAATTGAGCTTCAAAATCCATACCAAAGAGCGAGACTGACATTCCGCTACCTTAGATTCGTGCTGCAGAGGACCTGCTCGCCCTGCACCGCCTTATGAAAGAGCTTTGGCTCTTCGGCAAGCTCGATACCCTCGGCGAAGACGAACGGGACGTCAAGCGTCGTGAGAAGCTGGAGGAGGATGTGGAGGCCATCCAGAAGGCCCTCGATGGAGGATTGCTGATGCCATCGTTGAATGAGCCTGGGAACTCTGAGAAGTCAGAGGACACTCAGAAGTCGAAGGATACTGAGCAGTCCGAGAAGCTTGAGCAACCCGAGAAGTAAGGGTGGTTCCCCAAGGATCTCCGTCAAGTTATCTTGTTCGTTGGCCATTGAGGCTGTTTCGCGCGTGATACCCACTTGTTTCCTTAAGTCTGGCGTTGGACTGGTGTTACGGCGCATTTAGTTTTCGTGATATTGAATTCAAACCCATTGTTTACAATTACTTTGTTACTTCGCTCACTGAGCTAGACAAGAACAATGGCGTAACATTCTCCCTACTGACATTGGATCGACCATGACACAAATACCCTGCTAAAGAAAATTGACACATGTCAAGCCCACCTGTAGCTATATAGTGCGGGGCGATAAGCAGAAATCGTTATCGGAATCGTGCCCGCGACGCGAACCTCAACTCCACCATTCAACATCCTCCCTCACAACCCAAGCATCACCCCAGTTACCTCATTGCAAACTGCAATCACCTCGCAAACCAAAATGCCACCTCACAATCCCCACCCCCTCCCATCCCTCACCCTAATCGTGGCAACGACCCCGATCCGCACCGCGTCAACAACCACAAAAGACGAAATCACGCGCCTAGGCATCGGCCTAAACGGCACGCTCCCATGGCCCCGCATAAAGACAGACATGTCATTCTTCGCTCGTGTGACATCCCGCCCGCCGAGCCCAGGCATGACAAACGCAATCATCATGGGCCGCAAGACGTACGACTCCGTGCCGGCCTCGCTGCGCCCGCTCGCGAAGCGAATTAACGTTGTGATCACGCGCGACACGTCCGGTTCTGTTCGCGAGAGCGTAGCTACGGAATTAGGGAATATGAAAAGAAAGATTGCGGCCAAGGCTGCCCAGGCACAGGCTACGAGTGCAGAAAAGGAAGCTTTGAACCCGCCCAAGGAAGCTGTTCCGGCTCCGCCAGTGGACCCAATGACGGATGCGATTGTTACGCCGAGTCTGGGCGCGGCGTTGGAGCAGCTGGACTCTGTGTATGGGGCGCAGGGGAAGCTTGGCAAGATTTTTGTTATTGGTGGCGCGGAGATTTATAATGCTACGTTGAATATGAGTGCTGAGGAGTTGGGCGGTCGGCCTGTTAGGGTTGTTATGACGAATGTTGTGCGGAAGGGGGCTGTGGATGCGCCTGCTTCGTTTGAGTGTGATACGTTCTTCCCGTTGGATGGGCTGGATGAGAAGAATGGGTGGCGGGCTGTTAGCCCTGGGGAGGTTACCGAGTGGGTTGGCGAGGAGGTTGACGGGGAGTGGAAGGGAGATGGAGATGTTGAGGTTCAGATGGTTGGATTTGAAAAATTGACTTAGACATGGGTAGGATATGGACCTCTGTGGATAATTCACTAGTCAAATATGTTCAAAGATTCGTACTTCGGGCGCGTCTCCCCAGATCAAACCAAAACATAACAAAAAGATGTACAATGAAACTATACACAGTGCCAATGTTGGTTGAGGGAGCCGGCAGAATAAATAAATATGAAATGAGAGGATATGCAAGGCTATGCAAACAATTGAATCAGAATGCCTCGGCAACGCCCGAAAAAAAATGCAAATGGAAAAGAGCGAAGTGGTCGACCAACGTTCACGGCCTAGTCGCTATTCTCCTTCATGAATTTCACGAAGGCTTTCTTGTGAACCAGGCCGGCATATTTCCCGTCTTGAGTAACGCAGAGGTAACGAAGACCGAGCTTGGCGAAACATTGGTAGACCAAATCGATAGGGGAATGGATATCAAGAGCAATCGGAGCCTATGAATAAACACATTAGTATTGGCCAAGATATTGAGAAGGGTAACCAAGCTTACAGGGTCAATAAATCGATTGAAATCCACCTGGATCACATCCTCGTCCTCGTTATCGCTGTCATAGACGGCTCTGGAAGTATCCATAGCCATCAGACATACGGCATTCTCTTCCTCATCGCGGAGGGTGTCCAGTGCGTACTCGAGATCTGGTGCTGGGATCAGACCGGCTAAAACACCGTTCCGTAGAATTGGAAGTCCGCTGTCTAGCTCGCCTGCCATGAGCAGGTGTTCCAGTTTCAAGCGGAGATCCGTGGCTGGTACGAATGGCGACACAGAGATATCGATGATGCGATTCTTCCGCACTGGCCGGACTATGTCTCCCAGCTCGGCATCAGTGGTAGGCTGGAGTTTGCTATCAAGGAAGGGGTAGGAGTTCATGTCGGTCAAGAGGTCCTGATTCCAATTAGTATAACGCCGTGTTGGATTTCTAAGCGGAGGGCAAGACTTACATAAATACTGCGAGGTTCGATGGCATCCGCAGTCCACTTGGCACAGAGCACCGACAGGGAAAACGGAAGCACGTGGTTAAGACTTCCTGTCAATTCGAACAAGATCACAGGCAAAGTGACTGAGAGTCGTGTCACGCCACACATGGTCGCCCCAGCCGCAATCAATGCGTAAACTCCTGGAGTCACGCACGACTCAATCCCAACAACGGCAGGGCAAGAGTCGAATAAGAAAAAGGTGGGATGTCTGAGAGCCCAGTACTGGATCAAATGTCCAACAATCCGTCCCATCAAGCCGCCAACAACCATGGACGGCACATAGATGCCTGCAGGCACTTTGATACCGAACGTAATAATGGTCAAGAAACTCTTGATCACAAACGCCACCATAAGGTACTGGACGATTTCAAGGATACCGTCTGTGCGAGGACACAGGCCCGTACTTTCCACATCTGACTCACAAGGAGAAGCTAGCTCAAATAGAAGTTCGGTAACAGGAAGTTTCGTGTACCGATTCCAGAAGCTGATAATGCCCGTAACCAGCGCAACAAGGAAAACTTCAAGCATTGGCCATCGCTTAATGGCTGGAATACGACGGAATGATCGTGCCCACAAGCTCGAGGCTTTGATGAAGAGCGCACCAGCGGCGCCTCCCATAATACCGAGAAGGATGAAAATGAAAATCTCGAAGATCTGCCAGTCGGAAAGGTACCGGACTTCAAACAGGACTATCTTACCTGTTCCATAGGGGTTTAGGAACTTGAGGGACAATGTGGCTGCAATACAACAAAAGAACGTCCGGAAAAGGGTCTTGGGTGGGAAATAATAGCTGACTTCTTCCAAGCTGAAGAGGACACCGCCAATCGGAGCACCAAAGGCAACAGCAACACCACTGGCGGCACTAGCACTCAAAACCTCTCGTCGCTTTCCATCATTTTGGTTATACTTGGCGAACAGACGACAGGAGATATTGCCTACGCAGGTGGCAATATGAACGTAGGGGCCTTCTTTGCCCAGACTCAAACCAGACGAAACACTAAAGATCAAGCCAATAGTCTTAATGACCAAAGTCTTCAGTCCCATGTATCCGTGGAGAACAAAACCACTATTAATGACTTTGACTTCTGCCACTCCACTGCCAGCAGCAGAGTAGTAGATCATAGCTGGACGAGACGGAAAATTAGGCAGAGTTCCATGCACTGGGCTCGTCTCTGTCTCTGAAAGAGGAGAAGCCGAGGCACCGAGCCCATTGCCAGATTTTGTACCACGGGAGTCGGCGCCCAGGTTTTCATCAAGCGTGGCAAGAGAAATAGACGAAGGAACCACAGTTTTTGTGAGCAGGGTCAATGCACACGATATGAGGGCCAACGTCACAACCCAAAAGACAAACATGACGAAGTCAACCCACTGGCTTTCTGTATCCGACGGCGAGAAGATTCTGGACCAGGGCCGCCATGCATCACAACCAGCCACCCCTTCACAGCAGGTTCGTCGATTGCGGAAAGGCCGAGTCGTGCAAAAGCCTTCTTTCAAATCAAAGACCGACCCTTCAGTGACATCGACGAAGTAAGCTATCGAGGCCGTGATGCACCCAATAAGCGCGACCAAGATCCATCCTTGCGCGCCGTCGAAGGCCGCCAGCAATCGGCCTCGCACGTCCTTCCGCTGGCGGAGGAGGCGAAGTCGTGCTCCATCGGCTATGCTGTCATGCACCCAATCGGTAGAAGTGAATTGATCATACCAAGTACGTTCATCTAAAAATGAAGAGGCGGTAAGATTGTCTTTCGTGGATGGAGGAAGGCTAGCAGGTCTGCTATTGCCGTCTATACTTCCTCGCCGACTGAATCGCCTTCCTGTAGAGTTTGCACGGCTATGGTTTCGCGTTCGGCGCAGGCTGCCCGCCGCCAGGAGGTGTCTCAGTGATTCGGGAGCGGTACCCGACACTCCGGAAGTGCTGGTGTAAGATCGTCGCGGAGCTCGTCGCCGGATGTCTTGACTGGGCCCGAGGAGGCTGGTTGTTTCTGTGATCTCTAAGGGCGCATCGAGAGACTGGTATTCGGTATGCGTTTCGGAGAGGTAGCTTTGAGATCGTCTGTAGGCATTCGGTGAAGGGGGAGCAGTTTGGGCACTGCGCGTGTTTTCGGTATCTTCTTGCTCGCGCAAGGCAGGTGTGGACTTTGGAAGGGACCGAGGCATGTCGCCGAGAAGCCTTTATGCTTCAATTATGTTCAGTGGGGCTGGCAAGGGTCAGTTTTGGCAGCATTTGGAGATATGCGAGGTGATCCACATCAGACGTAAACACGGTGGAACAGAGCTCATACGAACAAAGAGATCAAGTAACTTGACTTACTGGGTAACATATCTCTCTTCCCAGAGCTATTTTCTTAGGAAAGATGAAAACAAAAAACAAAAACACAAAGAAACAGAGATGACGGTGAGAAAAGAGGGTCCGAGTCTTAAGATGAGGTGACCATCACAGATGATCTACTTAACGGCGGGGACGCGTCAGGTGAAAGTCCAATGCTGACCCACCAGCCACTAGAGTCATTTTGTCCATCTTTAATATATTTACTCTGTAATTTGAATGTTCAATGCCCAGCATTTTATGCTGATGATTCGATGGTTTATCTCCAATGTGGCATTCCCCTCTGATCATCCCCGCGTTTTTCCGACGATCAACACCCCGAAACAAAGCGTCCCGGGGTATCGCTGCAATGATTCAACGATGTGTGGAATGTACATTCGCGATTCGACATGATGCAGCCGCCACTTGATCGCAGAAACCTTGT